TGGGCACTGTCCCTACACTCTTCAGCTCAAGGCAAGTGCTCTACCTCTTGAGCCACAGCACCACTTCCTGTTTTCTAGTGGTTTATTGGAGATAAGAGTCTTACGGACTTTCCTACCCAGACTGGCTTTGAACCACGATCCTCAGATCTCAGCCTCCTGAGTAGTTAGGATGACAGGCGTGAGCCACGGGCATCCGGCTTCAAACTTTTTTCTTTTTTGGTACTAGGGATTGTCAGATTCACCAAAAGATTAAATTTTGGTGGGCTTAAGCTTACCCTTACTAGTTCATCTTTATACCTTTACTAGCTCCAGTTTGTTGGATTTCAGTTAAAGAAACATTCATTGATGTCCTCAGACGTGCTAGCTCAGAAACACAGCATCCCAGAGACCTGTCGTCTGATAAATACATGCACATTATAACTATGGGGATCATGTCTTCTTTGTGCCCCTCAGGCTGATGCTTCCCACGGCACAGGCATAAGTATGTGGGTCAGGGTGCTGTGTGCGCAGGAAGTCAAGTTGATCAAATGACAGCTTTCTAGATTACAGGCAAATCTCCTTTGGGTGGGAATGTCCTATGTGGAAAGAAATAACTTGGGTGACAATGTGAGAGGCAAGGATAAGAATTATAAAGCCTCTGAATGTACTTTTTGCATTTGTATTTTATTTTTTTCTTGCTAGTCACAGCAAATCCTAACTGTTCATTTTGGATATAACTTGAGCTATTTTAATGCTACTAGATGCTACTTCTCTCATAGTCTATGTTCCTTGCATTAAAAAGTTTGTCTTTTTAAATAAAGCAAAAAGAAATGAAGAGCATATTAATACATTTCCTTATTTGGTAAGGGTTCAGAAAGAACTACTATAAATAGTATATGTTTTTATAGCCACACACTTTTACTTACAAGGTGACATAGTCTACACAGTAGATGTGTAGAACTGTGTGCAGATTTATGGTGCTTGAGGAATGCCAGCATTAGGAAAATGTGTTCAAAGTATAAAGATTCTAATTTTTAAGAGAATGTTATGCAGATATTTAGGCTCTTCGGGCAAGAAAAGTTTAGGCAAAAGTAAGAGAGAGAAGGATCTCGTCGAGGTTAGCGATGGCTGAGTGGCTACAGCCCTGGGACTCGGAGCAGCACCAGCAGAGGGGTGAGGTGCTCTGGAGCATGGCTTCCGAGAGACCCCTCCTAGGGGCGCTGCAGTAGTGCTCAGGACCTCCAGCAGTGCCTGGCAACAACCTGTGGGAAGCTGTCTGAGGCTTGGCACGCAGGCTTTTGGGGGCATTGATCTTGTAGGCAAATTTGAGACTTTTCAGGAGGGAAAGTAAGTGTTCCTACTTTGAAAAGTGGCTTGCCTTTTAGTGATTAGTGGACTGGGGACATTCTAGTCAACGGTCAGCCTTGGGAGCAGCATCTTCAGAAGAGGTGGGCAGCCTTTCTGCTCAGCCAGGCACTGCGCCCGAAGAGATGGAGGAAGATCCCTTCCCACCCTGGTGAGCCCAATGTGCAGAGACTGAGGGTCAAAGTCAGATCGCGGGAGATTTCCACTGGCTATCAGCGATGCCTGAATAAGAACCCCTTGTAAGGGCCAGTCAGGGCTGTGAGGGGTCTCAGGGGAAGTTGGTTTTAGAAGGGTTGAAAAATCTTAGCCAGGCAAAGAGCAGAGAGGAGTAGGGCAGCTCACAGCGTGACCCCCAGCGGGGCTGGACTGGGCACATTGGAATCAGACAGAGAAATCCTGGGAAGAGGCCGGGTCCGTCCTACTCCACCCCTCCTTTCCGTCTCAGACTGGAGCTCAAGACTAGCCTTGTGACTCCAGGGGTGTCTACTTTAAAGCCTCTCCCCTCCTTATCAAAGCCAGATTTTCCAATTTATAATTTGGGGTAAATGTGTAATGTGTTATTCTAAGTGAGAAGTAACGCTGACCTAACAGGAGTCCTGTAAAGAGAAATAATCTCCAACAAGACAAAGCATGAAATATTCGAGGCAGTTTGGCCTTATGAAATGAGAACTCTTAACCTTGGTTTTGTGTGTTGTTGTTTTAAAAGCAGTAAAAGCAATCTTCTGTCCCTGAGCTTCTGAGTGATCCTTAGAATGTGTCTGCATCATGATTTCTTCTTTATGCTATAAAATTCTGTGGGTTTTAGCAAGTGCATGTATCCTATGCTCACCATTAAAATAGTTTAATCACAGATGCTCTGTGTTTTACCTAGTCACTATCTTCCTTCTCTTTGGACTCCTGGCTAGTATTGATCTTTTTGGTGCTCCTATGGTTTTGCTCTTTTGAGAGTTGTGAGTGGCACAAATATGCCTCTTTTTCTTCTCATCCATGTCTTTTCATGGCTGGTAGAGTGCTTGCTCGCCAGGTGCTCTACTCCGGAGCCACGTCTCCAGCCCTTTTTTGCACTGGTCATTTTTGAGATAGTGTCTTGCTTCTTGCCTGTGCCTGCTCCTGGACTACAATGTTCCTATTTTAGTCTTTCTTCATAGCTGGGATGAAAGACATACACCATCGAATGTAGCTTCTCCCATTCAGATGGATTCCTGCAGGTTTCTCTGTCCAGACTGCCACGATCCTGCTAATCAGCCTCCTACGAGCCGGGATGGCAGGCATGTACCAGTGTGCCCAATATTGCTTGAGAAGAGGTCTTGAGAACTCCCCCGCCCCCAGGCTGTCATTGATCCAGCCTCCCAAATAGGCAGGATTCCGGATGTGAGCCCAGGTGCCTAGCACATGCATCTGGGATGAGTTTTCTTGTCAGTTGAATGAACACCTGGTAAGATCGGTGTGATTGTTGGGTTGTACAGAAAGGTTATATTTAATATTTCAAGAATCTACCAGTTAGCTTTCTGTACCATTTTAGATTCTTACCAAAAATACAGAGAATTGTTGCTGCTTTCCATCCATGCAGACAGAACTGTCAGATGGGTGGCCCCCATGGCTGTCGAGGTAGGCATGAAACAGAATACAAGCTTTACTTGACTTCAGCTCACCAATGACTAGCGGGTGTTCTTGGTGTGGCTCTGCCAGTCTACCTTCTCTGGTGAACTATCCACTCAGATCTTGGCCCCATTTAAAAAATTATTTTGTTTCTTTCTTACTGTTGAGTTTTAAGAGTTCCTTTGGATTTTGGATGCTAGCCCTTGGTCTGGTATGTAATTTGGCAAATAGGAACTGTATGATAATTCATTCAAACAAAGTGAGGTGGTAAGAAAGGATGAGTCAGTTGTGGCTTTATATTTCCAGGTTGGATTTCTGGAAAATTAGAGAGTAATAGTAACAGAGCCAGGGAAGTTGACAGTTAAAATCTTGTCAAGAACTGACAGAACTCAATTTTGAATCCCAAACCCTGGGTTGGGAGACAGAGGAGGACCTGGGGACTGACTGGAGTTTAAAATGTGCTCAGACCCCGATTCACAGTTTGGTGTCAGCATCATGGATGGAGGAGAAAGCACAAATTGAAGCGCATTAGAGAGTTAGGAGAATAGCTCTAAAGTTGTGCGCCCTGAAGTTTCAAGGAGTCAGGTGTGGACTGTTCCCCGTGGAGGACGTGTAAAAGCAGGAGACCTGTGTCATGTCCTCGGCAGGCCTGGTATGCCGTCCGGTGCGTCAAGGGGGGGCGCTTTTCCTAGCTGCGTCATGAGGCAAGACCGCACTCAGATCTCGCGAGCCTTGCGTTTTTCAGCAGTGCGTACACTTTCTCAACTGAATTTAACATCTCCACCAAGGACACTTTTGCCTTGAGTTGAGTAAGATGGGTTTCCCTTTTTTTCCTTCAATTATAGGTGGATACGCACAGTGAAATTGACCAAGTATTGGTATCCTTGAAAGAAATCCTTTGCCTCCTCAGTTATACCCTTCTGTGGTAGAATTCTAACAGTTGTGACTTTAATATGGGCACAATTAATTGACAGAGATGAATTCCTTAGGGACAGCATACATCCTACTCTCTGGAGACCTACGTAATTCCTTTCCATCCTTTCAGCCTCAGTACAGGTTTCCATTGCTTTTTTACACCTAAAGATTATAATTTATCAAAATAATTCAGTGAGAATATATGGTAGTAGTAAAAGCAATCCTCATCCTGAGAATAACCATTCATATCCCAATTGTGTTTAGTATTATTTAATTGAAAACATGTAATTTTATGTTTCTTATGAGTGCATGTAAAATTACTTAGTTTGAAAATCATTAGACTGTGAAAATTATTTTAGAGAAACTGTCTACAAAGAATATCAATGAACAAATGTCAAGATTATTGTAAACTGAACATTAGTTATACCGTTGGCTTTAGTGCTCCTGAGAAAAAGGAAGAATTTGTGTCATAAAACATAAGAATTTATTAATGTACTTTCTAAACATTTTTAGTACTGGTCTGTGTTATACTAGATTTTTCTGTGTACTTCTATTGTTAAGAGTTTCATTTGTTTTGTGCTTAATATATGGTAACTATTTTCCAAAAATAAGTACTTCGTAGGACTTAATGGATAACAATAAAGAACAACATTGGTCCATGTATAGCACTGAGGTTTGTGGTTGGAAAACAGTTTGTATCATTATGTAATATATAGATACTACATTTAAAATCCCTGGAGGTCTTAATTTCGAGTCCTAATATATATTTATATATATATACACACACATTTATATGTATATGTATATATAGACACACTTATATTTCCACCAATATTTTACTATGTATGTACGTACAAATTCCATATAATATAAAATTCTGTTTTAACTATTTTCTGTGTAAAGGTCGGTGGCATTAATTATATTCGCAGGATTCCTTAATCACCACCCGTGCACTTCCCAACCTCTGCCTCAGGGACACACAGAAGTGCCTGCCCGTGAAACACAAGCTCTGCTAACTGCTGCTCTGCACCTTCCCTCCAGCAGTGCAGACGCTGTTTCACAGCATTGCATGTCCCTACTGTGTATCTCATGTATATGAAGACATTGTATAGGTGAATTTATTCTTTTTATTTCTTTTACAGGTTTGACAGATGAAAAAGTGAAGGCATATCTTTCTCTTCACCCCCAGGTATTAGATGAGTTTGTTTCTGAAAGTGTTAGTGCAGAGACAGTAGAGAAATGGCTGAAGAGGAAAAACAACAAACTGGAAGGTAAGGCTATTCAGCTTGCATGTTGACTGATTTTAAACCAAGTTGTCCTAGCCAATACTTGTGAAATAAAAGGCATTAAATATATTCTGGAAGGCAAAATGTAACACTTAATGTTTTGTTTCTGTCAATTTTTTTTGAAAAAGTTGAAACTGGAAAATTAAAAATTGGAAAGGAAAAATATAGAAATAAGACCCTTGACTTAAAAAGATGGCAACTAAGTCTTGGGAATTCTATCACATAGAAAAATGCACAAGTTGGTATTCTTTCTGGATTTTATTTAATGCTTATCTTATTATTTAGCTTGGGTACTACAATGAAACAACCGAGACAGTTAAGTTACAGAGAGAAAAAGGCTGTTCATCTTGCAGTTGTGTAGGCTCCAGTCCAAGCCCAGGTGGTCTGAGAGCTCTGGGCGGTGGTGAGGGCACCAGTGGCAGAGGTGAGAACGTGGGGTCAGCAGACCGCACACAGCACGAGCCGGGGAGGCTGGAGGAGGAGGCAGAGCTCCCACAACCCCCTCTGGGACATGTGGTGACAGAAGGACCTCCCACTAGTCCCCATTATTGAAGGCCCGAAGCCCCTCCCTGGTCCCCACCCCTCCATCTTGAGGACCTTACCTTTGACACGTGGACCTTGGACGATATCACATATTCATCAGACCACACCAAGTACAAGGAAGGTGTAGAAAAATATTGTCTACCTAATACATATGTGATGTGACAAACATCTATTCTCATACATGCTACAGAAAGAAATCTGAGGTCAAGTGTAGATATGCAGTTGGGAGGTCACTCTTGCCGTGGCATTTGGCCGTTGGCTTGAAGCATCGCCTTCTTTCTTTCATAACTTTTTTTTTTAATGTCAGTTGTGGGGCTTGAACTCAGGGCATGGGCACTGTTTCTGAGCTTCTTCGCTCAAGGCTGGGGCTCTACCACTTGAGCCGCAGAGTCACTCCCTTTCATAACTTCTATAATGAAGTCAGATAAATCTTTGAGAAAGCTGACTCAGATTCTGAAATATATAGCTTTTCAATTAAACGCAATATTTTTACTATAAGTACATAAATGGTTGTGCATGTTTTCATTAAGAGAAAGGGAGAGAAGAAATTAGACACAAGCACTCTCTTCTCAACTGTCAAGAACAAATCTTAACATGGCCCGTTTTTGTAATTGCAAACCTTAAACATTTGTAAACCATTTGAGATGTTTGACACTTTCAAAAGCATGGCTAAGCTTTGCTGAGAGTGCATCATAAATAAACATGCAAATTTCAGCTTGTTCTCTGATGAGAAATAAATATATCATGCAAGCTTATATTTGTGGAATATGGGATTGAGTCCAGGTCCTCAAAATGAAAACAAACAAACAACTTATCTACTGTTTTAGTATTACCATTAGCATGAATACTTCATTTGGTATATATTCCCTTTTTAAATTTAGCAATACTTTAAACTATTTAATACAAATACTGGTTGGTTTCTAAGAATAGTCAACCGTAGCTGAAACCCTGTTTTGCAGTTTTCCGTTACTGACACTCCTTTGCCCCCCTCCAGTCATCACTACCAAATTCTTATTCTTGGAGAGCTGATAGTTCTGACTAATGGTGCAGAAGCCCAGAGACCAGAGGCCGAGACTGTGAAAGGGCCTGGCCCCTGGTGTTGGCGTCCAGTGGGAGCAGGCACAGAGGTCACCCCAGTGACCGCAGCAGTGAGCAGGTGCTCAGGACAAGTATGTGACATGCATGGAGGACAGCCTTTAGTTATGCTGCCCAGTGGAAGGCCCTCACCACCTCCTTTGAGGGGGTGTATCTCATTATGCACACCTTCATGTTCAGAGAAGTTCTGTCCCGTGGCTTCTGACAATACAAGAGCAAGGCCTTGATTCTTGTTATTTAACAAATACCCTCCAATGATCCCCAATCGTCCCCTATTCCCCTTCACAGCCAATCACCCTCGAGGAGAGTATCCATTTCACACATCAACTCAGGTAGATGCCCCCGAGAATGCTTGTTGAAATGATAAAAACCTGTCAGATTATTTCATTCTGTGTTATTTAGTAAAAGAGAAGGAACTAAATGACTGTTCCAGAATGAGTATTTTGCACAATTATTTACACTTTATTGGTAATGTGTACTTCATTTGTATTTTGTAACCGCCGACAAATCATCCCCATATGGGAATGTTCTGTATTGTAGCAATAGAAAATTCTGTGAAGTTATTTCTGCTCACAGAGAGATTATATATGGGAATTCAGCTATATAAACAATAAAAGTGATTATTTAAATCAGAGGAGTATATTTGCTTCTGAAATAGTTTGCCTTGTGGTGTCTGCTATTTTCTTAAATCACTACTGTTAGTTTGGTGCTCATAAAACACCAATGTGGAGAGCAGGAGACTACAGAAATACGAATCAATATTGTGTGTTTCTAAAACAGGTCTAACTCCTGAGGCCTTCCTAAGATATCAGACCTCTGTAGGTGTTACGCGTGTGGGATATTATCAGGTGTAGATACTTAGTTGGTAGATGCTATAATTGCACCCTGGAAGTGAGAGCATCAGGGGTTAACCCAGCCAGTTCTTGGTCGAGTTATGACCCAGTAACAGTAGGCAGATGGAGGGCACGGGCAGCGTGCATCCTATTACCGCTGCACCCCTCTCTACAGAGGACATAAAGTAGGGAGAAACTCTCCGTCTCTAAGGAGCCATTCTGATGCTGGCCACCGCAGTTGGTTACCACACTGTGCACATGCCAGTTACTGTATAACTTTCATAACTTTTGTAATGAAGACAGCTAGATCATTAGCTCACCTCTGCCATGGCTGTTTACAAGCTTATTGATGGAAGAGATGATAGGATACAGTTTGAACAACTTCTGTTCTAAATACTTGGGACTAGAAGTATTTCACATTTTAATTTCTAAGAATTTTTTGTGTCTGTCCTGGGGCTTGAACTCATAGCCTAGGTGCTTTCCCTGAGCTCATGAAAGCTATTGTGAAAAATATTATTTTATGTGAATGCTTTTTATCCAAAATGTTTTTGTCTGATGAGATCTGGGGGACAAACTAAATCTCATCCCTAGGCAGCTGTGAGGATCTCCAAGTCCACATAAGCTGTGTGTTTGTACTCATGCAAATGCCAGCTAGCTCCTACTAACCCACTGCCTTTGACTTTGTAGACACGTTGTCTTGACTACTTTTCCAAATCTGCAGAGAAATCATTTGGTGACATAGCTTGCCATACCATCTAACACTGTGATATTTTAGGCAGTGTTTTACACAATGGTATGTATTAGATGTCCATTTAAAGATTAAAACTTGAATGAGTAAATGAGTAATTCAAATGTACTACAGTGTCTCAAATGAGATTAGTTTTGATTCATGTTAAGAAGATACAAGAAAAAAAAAGAAGATACAAGGTTGGGGGCTGGGAAGGTGGCTCAGTGGTAGAGCACTTGCCTTGCATGCATGAGGCCCTGGGTTCGATTCCTCAGCACCACATAAGCAGAAAAAGCCAGCAGTAGTGCTGTGGCTCAAATGGTATAGCGCTCGCCTTGAGCTGAAGAGCTGACAAAAAAAAATAAAAGAAAAGAAGATACAAGATTGTATTTTTAGCACATTATGCTAAAATATAGCTCTTTATATTAGTGGGAAACTTTAACTTAGTTACATGTTAAGTGTGCTGTAGAAGATAGGTAATTTTTAGCACCCTAGAGTTCATCCCAAAAGGCAGATTTTAAATAATTCTTCTGTGGCTGTGTTGCTGTGGCAAAGTGCATAACTACATATATACTTTAATGTCAAGTGTGGTATTCACGATTGCCAGAGCTTTCCCCTGATGGTCTCATTGGTTAGAGAGTGAGAGTAAAGCCTGTTTGAAGCCCCCGCCGGCTCTCCTGTTGACCTCACTCCTCCATCCATTAATGAAAGTTATTTTTGGCCATGTGAAAGCTGCTTGCAAGGTGTCCATTCATTCCTCATGTGTGTGGCTATGTCAGACTGTTAGGTGCTTTTATATTGTCAGCAGAAATACTGTTAACAAGTAAGGTTTTATGGAAGGCTGGTGAAGGAAGGTTCTTCAGTCTGGATCAGTGAAAATGAGTGTGCATCTGTGGGGAAAATGTGACACAGAAGTGAAGAGAGGTGTGGAGATGCAGCGTCGTTAAGGTTTGTTTGAAGGCGAGGGGAGGCCTTTGTCTTTAACTAGAGAGAAGTAGGAGCCTCTTCCCCTGTGAAGTGGGACCGTGCGCGGACCGGGAGAACCCTCGGCGAGGATGTCTGGAGTCCAGAAGCCAAGACCTGGAAAAATGAAACAGTTAAGATTCCCCTTTTCATTAGATAGTTGGTAGAACAAATGCTACTTTAATTTGTACATTTTTTATGGGGCACAAGTACAGAATATTAAACCAACCAACTTGAAGGAAATAGATGTTTTCTGAATAAAGTTGGAGGTCATGTGGCCCTCAGAAATCGTACGCACAATGTGTGAATGTTCCTTAGGTTTTTGAAGAGAAGAGTCATGGCTTTTCCTTTGGGAAATATAATTCCCAAGTAAAGTTGTGAACAGTTCTTAGCGGAAATTGTAAGCTAAATGTCTATTTAAGCCTGAGGTTAAAATTGTGACTGCTGTAACGGTGATAAGAATGTGGACAGGACTGAGGTACTTTTTATATATCTGCAGAAAGAGCACATGCTATGCATTAACTAAATATCGGTAACTATCATAATAATTTATTTACACATTTTTTGTCCTTCTGAACTTCCATTGGGTAGAGATAATGAGTAATACGATAATAAATTAGCATGTGTTTGAAATTGTAGAAATGCAGAGGAAGTAAAAGCCAGAGCGAGATCGGAAGAGCAGGAAGAAGATGTTCCGTTGTGATCATGGAGCCTGCTTTGTGGATTTTGCATGGCGTGATCCTCTGTTTAGTAGATCCTGACAAGTACTGCTTAGAACTTAAATAGAAACACATTTAAGCAGATACAGTCAGAAATGAGGGGTA